TGTCACCAGGAACAAAGGTAAGGGCTGGCTCATGACAACGATTATAGTATCGAGCCATATCCTCTTTTGCCTTTACAAGGGCAGCTCGGGCTTCAGACAGGGAGTCAGCCATTCGTTGTTTGAACTCATTCACAGCTTCTCTCCTAGATGGCTGCTGGTGAGGTTCAAAGCCCATGCGTGGGTGGTGACCAGAGTCAAGCATGAAGGGAGTTTCTTTTGTGAATGAGTGAACATGGTCATTGTACTGGAACTCTGCAAGGGGTAGGAGGTCATCCCAGTCGTCCTGTTGCTCGTTCACAAATAGATGGAGGTATTGCTCCAGCTCTTGGTTGACAAGTTCTGTCTGTCCATCGGTCTGTGGGTGGTATGCGGTGGAGGTAGCCACCTTGATACCCAGAAGTCTGTATAGCTCACGAGTGAACTCACTGACAAACTGTGTACCTCGGTCTGAAACCACATGGAGGGGTAGGCCATGGTGTCTCCAAACATGATCTCTAAAGAGACAAGAGGCCCCCAATGCTGTGGTCAAGGTGGGGATGAAGTGAGAATGTTTGGATAAGGAATCCACAACAACCATCACAGCATCGTACCCATGCGACTCTGGGAGTTCAACAATGAAGTCAACACTGACCGTCTCCCACTGCTGCTCAGGAACCTCCAGAGGGTGTAGTTCTCCGATAGGCAATCGACGCTGAGCCTTGGTGCGTAGACATAGGTCACACGCCTTTGTGTAGCTACCAATGTAGCGAGACATGTGGGGCCACCAATAGTTCCAAGAGACAAGTTCCAAGGTCTTCCAACATCCAGCATGGCCAGCAATACAAGTGTCATGATGTTGGGAGACAATTTGACATCGTAAGTCATGCTGATCAGGGACATATATCTTTCCACAGAACAGAAGTGTACCATCCCTCTCACTCCACTCTGATGACTTCACAGACTTCCCAGTAGTCTTGCAAAGTTCCTTAGCAGCACATGCAACTGACCCCTCTAGCTCTCCCTCCTTGGTGCCATTACGAATGTCCCTCAGGATGTCACGTTCTTCACCTGTAAACTCCAGTCCTTCCAGTGCACGGATGACAAAGAGTTCTGGTTGGAGAAGCACCAAATTATCATTGTCATTTGAGCCAGTGCCATGATCAGGTCAGCGTGAGAGTGCATCTGACTTCCCCATTGTCTTGCCAGGACGATGGTACAGGTTGAAGTCGAACCGAGACAGATAAAGAGACCAGCAGGCTTGGCGACGGTTGAGCTTTTTGGCCATGTGGAAATATTGAGATTTTTGTGGTCTGTCCAGATCTCGACATGATGTCTCACCCCCTCAAAGAAGTGTTGCCATTCTTCAAGGGCACACATGATGGCGAGCATTTCCTTGTCATAGTTGCGCTCAACCAGACTGAGACTCTTGGAGAAGAAGGCTATGGGGTGCCATTTGTTATTGACCTTGGACTGTTGGGAAAGAACAGCACCGGTTGCAAAATCAGAGCTATCTGCTTTGACACGATATGGGAGGTCGTCATCTGGGAATGCAAGGATGGGTGCAGATGTTACCAATCTCTTTATAGTGTCGAAGGCAGCCTGCTGTGAGGGTCCCCATGTCCAAGGACTGTCTTTGTGAAGCAGGTCGAACATTGGACATGCATGGTGTGAGAACTTCTCAATAAATTGACGATAGAAGTTGGCAAAACCAAGGAAACGACTGCACCTCCTTCTTATTGTTAGGTGTTGGCCACTCAGCAACACCAGCAACCTTGACAGGATCCATTTTGGCTTTCCCATGAGAGATGATGAGACCTAGGTATTCAATCTTGGTCTTGTCAAAGTTGCACTTGTCAGGACGCAAATAAAGCTTGTGTTCTCTGAGACGCTGTACCACTTTCTGTATGACTTTATGGTGACTTTCTAGATCTTCTGAAAAGATCAGAATGTCATCCAGATAAATGCATATGACACCTTCAGCAATGAGGTCATGGAAGATGTCATTCATCATAGTCTGGAAAGTGGCAGGGCTGTTAGTGAGGCCAAAGAACATCACTAGAGGTTCAAACAGTCCCCGATTTGTCCTGAATGCTGCTTTCCACTCATCACCCTCTTTGATTCTGACATTGTTAAAGCCCCAACAAACATCAAGCTTAGTAAAGTAGTGGGCCCCTCGTAGGCTGTTGACAAGGTTGGAAATCAAAGGAAGAGGGTAGCGATTCTTGATTGTCATTGCATTCAGCACTTGATAGTCTTGGACAAACCGTAAGGCACCATTTTCTTTTTGACAAAGAACACTGGTGAGGCCATTAGTGACTTCGACAGTCGGATGCATCCTGTGCTCAAATTCTCCTTGAGGAATTTGTCCAATTCAGCCTGCTCTCCTGGGGAGAGGGGGTATACCTTGGGTGAGGCTCTGGGGTTGGCTCCGGGTTCTAACTCGATGGCATGATCCCATGGTTTGTGTTCTGGAAGCTTGTCAAATGATTCCTTTGCAAAGACATCTTCATAGTCAGACAGGTAGTCAGGAAGAGTGTCTGAAGGCTGGGAGTTGCGCCAGGCTGCTTCTGCAAGGCATTGGGATGTTGTTGAAGAAGCACAAATGAACTCAGCTTGGGGAGGGAGCATAGCAACTAGAATGCAGTCACCCTCTTCTATGGCCTCATCAGATGTGCCTCCAGCCATTTCAGAATCACCCCCATACTGTTGACTCAGGAGGAGTTCTTCTTCAGCTGTTGATCCATCAGAATCATGCATGAGAATGGGGCTAGGACCAATATGGCAGGTGCGCAGTCGTAGGGCCTTCTGATGTTCTTCCTTGATGATGTTGCAACATGTATGGCACTGGGGAGGACACCAAGTCATCTGTACTTCTTGAGACTTCCAGTCAACTTCTGGGTTGTGGTCCCAAAGCCAGGTGTAGCCAAGGATCATATGTTGATGCCCTAGGTGCATAACAGCAAACACAGCTCTCTCAGAATGGTCTTTGTACCGCAGAATTAGATGAACGACTTCAGTGATAGATCCAGATTCATTGGGTGAGCCATCAACATTGTACACAGGAATAGGATGAGAGAGTGGTCGTGCAGTGAGGCGGGTTTCCTTAACAAATCCCAAGTTGATAAACAAGCCAGTGGCACCAGAGTCAAGTAGAGTGCGAACCAACTTGATCTCTGCTGTGTCTGTGGTTTGAACCTCAACTGGGAGATAGAGGGAGTTTGGGCCTGGGGTGGAAGCAACAACATACTGTGCAGGGAGGTTTTGTTCCCATTTTTTACGATGGAAGCGAGTAAGAGGTCAGAAAGGAGTTAAGGGTTGTGTGTCTAGCATTTCGGTCTCTGTAGCTGAGGAATCAGGTTCTGAATCTGTATATTCATCATTTACCTGATTATACAGCAGTGGAGAAAAATGATTGGAAATTGGCAGCAGGGGCACACTATTCACCTGCCACGCAACACAAAATCCTCTTCTTCTTCCTGAGGCTCTGGACCATCCTCCTTGATAGGGCTTGCAGCTTTATGATCAGCAGATGACACCAAGTGGGCGATCCATTCCTCCTTCTCTTCTGCAGTCATGGTACAAACATCAAAGGCTTGAGGACATTCTCTAGAGAAGTGGCCTGGTTTTCCGCACCTATGGCAGACAAGAGAACTAGATTGACAATGATGAGTGGCATCTACCTCCATTGCTACTGGCTGAACAGCTGTGGTGACAGCAGGTGGGGCTAGCTGAAGTTGTGGTGCCAAGTCTGATTGGTGAGGTGGGTGTGGGTTTCTGTGGTTAAGACCAGTAGAGACGATGGTGGGGCAGGCATAGGGCAAGGTAGAGCTTGCACGAGTTTAGGAAGACTTGTCCTTTCTCTCTGTCACCACTGAAGTCAGCTGGAGTGGCAGGTGTTGCACATTTGTGAGTGGTGGGGGGGGAGAGTGACGTGGTCATGAGGTTGGCGACATCATGGTTCAAGGTGTGTACTTGGACATCTGTTTGCCGGAGTTGTTGTGATAACAATTCCTTCTGCTCTCTTTCAACACGTAGGGCAGCCTCTAGGACAGCAACATGTTGGTGAAGCTCATTGTAAGCCGCTTGGAAATCAAAGGAAATAGGGTCTTCAGGGATGGGTGTAGACATAGTGGAGATAGATGGAATATAGGGTGCTATGTAGAGAGTGTACCAGAGGGGTTCTGAACTGCTATGCACCTGAAGAAGTCAATTCAGAGACAATAGCAACAGCAACTGGTCCAGTAAGTTGTCAGGCTTTTCTACTATAAGGGCAACCTCCAGGGGGAAGTGGAATATCACACTGAACACTGGCAGATGGGAATCTGAAGATATATAAGCTCACAGAAGACTACATACAAGGATACATACCTGGCAGATGGGAATCCAAAGAGAAAAGCCTAAGGTTCCCACTGCCAAGATAACTACCTAAAGCAGTATGCAAATAAACACTGGGACATACTGTGATTATGTAACAGGGTTGGAATCCAATCCTGTTATGTAACACAAGTGCTTATGTGAGTGAGAATGGATGCCAAGTTACGTAACAGGATTGGATTCCAATCCCATTGCGTAACTGGGTGCTTAAGTAAGCGAACTTGAACGAAAAGATAGGGGCAAGGGAGATAATGGGGGGAAGGGAGAAGTGGGGAAGAACAGGTAGGAAGAAGAGATAATAGAGAAGTGTAGAACCACATGAAATGGGGTTCCCTTTACAACTGCATGCACAATATGGTGCTGAGAACCATCTTCAAGCTGTAGATAAAACTGCGGTACGACAATTAATGGATGCTATTGGCGGTGAGAAGAATATTGAATTTGTCAGCCCTGAATATGCTTCACGGGCTTGGGAGGTTTACAAAAGTTTGGGAATCAGGAAGTTAACACTTCACAATGTTTGGGCAGTGTTCGAAGACATGCTACCATTAATTCCAGTGCAATGCACTGCTTAAAAATAACAAACAGTATTGTAGTTCAAAAGTTGTGAAAAGTGGGAGACACAAGTGAACAAAAAACCAAGGAGTGTTTGTACCTTATAAGATGAAGAAAGTTAGAGTTCCCAAGCCCGGTTCAGACCACTTGGGGTGTTTGGTCTATGATCAGGAGTTTGGGAAAGAACTGGTCTGGTCACTAGAACTTGATCAAAATAATGGTTTGTTGGCTGGTGCTTTGCAAGGCACAGTAATTGTCTCCTTATGAAGCTCCAGCTTACGGCATATTTTATTGCATTTATGGTCCTTGAGAAATTGTTCGATTGCCATTGGGCCCTTATCCCAGAACCCAGATGAGGAGTCAAACCTCATAGTTGATTAGTCATCTGATCTCGAACATGCACATCAGGTCTTGCTACGTACGTGTGTGCCTGTGGATCAAAAGAACCAGTGATTTCTGTGAATATATGAAACCTTCAAATAAATGAGCAGTGGTAAGGTAAGTTTTCAGGGTGTGGTGATACATACCTTGAAGATCTGCAATTAACCATTCCCTGGCACTATCTATAATGGTGTGGTGGGCATAGGCATCCACCCACATTCCGAGAAGACCCCTGCTATTTCCAGTTTCCGTGTTCCTGGAAAATTTGAACTCCACAGATCCCTCTCCTTGTGGACAAGCCAGGAGAGGAACGACCAAGAATGTGCTCCAGATGAGCCCCTCCCCTGACTGTTCCATCTCAGTGGCTGATAAGGGTGTCACAAGTGTGCCAAGGAATGCATCTGCATTCCAGCTAATCTTGAAACAAGAAAGACATACTAGGCCAGTCTTTCACACCAAAATTCACAGCACGTTTTATAATTGAATCCAGAAAGTATTTTTCCCATGCAAGCACTTTGAGTTTGTTGTGTAGGTCACATTCATTATTTTTCTCGGTGAGGCCGGGCAAATTCTTCATCTGCAACACAGCATATTCCATTGAGCCAATGCGGCACTACAGCATTCCATTAATGAGAAATAGATCTGCAGTTAAGGAATCACCAACCTTAAATGCAAACTTGACGAAGCCATATCCTAAGAAACCTCCCTCCCTCTTGCCAGTGTTGACAAAGCAGCACCACCCCTGCGGAACTAGTATAATTTCTTCCTGATCACTCTTCAATGTCTGGCAGGTCGTGACACCATCTGCAATTCTAATCACACATGTCTCTCGGGTGAAACTGTGCTAGTCGTATATAGTTGCTGGTGTTGTAGGTATAGAAATCGCTGAGTGGGAACGGTAAGCACTAACATAATGTTTTGATCCCGGAGATTGATCTTCAGTGAGAAGATGAATGGGAGGCTTGGTATTCCACTTAATACCACTCACCACGTGACATTGAAGAAAGCTTTCGCTTGGAAACTCGTAAAGATGATTGCATGTTGTGGGCAGGAGCCACGAACATGTCATCTTCAGAATCCTACAGGTGAGTTGAGATTAAATACACCTGGGATGAGAGGCTATGTCACTTACTGATAAAAGTTTCTCTTCATAGAGTCTCAATTGTAATGTGAGAGTTCTTCCTTTGACATCTTTATCAGAAAGCAGCCCGTCCGCCGCTAGCCTAGAATGGGGCTTGTCTGACGAAACTAGCAAATTAGTGTCATCCCGAATATCGAGGTAGCTAATATCTGTGGCTGATTTCGCTACAGCAAAACTAACACTATTCCTATTTACAACAGACCTTTATTAGCAGGCAACCTATTGAGACATTGCAAAAGCATACCACGCAAAGTCAACTTTGGCTTCTGGTTTGTCTGGTGCGGAATACTCATCAAATACCTGCTCCGTGTATTTCAACAGCTCTTTGATTACATCGGCCGTCATTGGATTGCCAGAAATCCCCGCACAATAGTCAGCACCTGCAGCTAAGTCCTCAGGTATCAATATTGTTAACTGAATAATTACGAAGACCACTTACTTGACGTGGTTTTCCGTTCCCTTTGGTCCATTTCATTGGATACAGCCAAAGTGAGTTTAATGTTGATTGATTCCGATTTAGCTAGTTTCTTCAATGACTCGGTTTTCTTGACAATCTCATTCGCTTTCTTAAGGTTAGCATTTTGGGGTCGCTTATTAAGACGATGCTCCCGTAGTCTCGTAGCTGAGCGTACGCCGTAGAAGGTAATTGGTGATGTCAATGCAGCCTAAATATCGGTCAGAACATGAAGAACATAACCGTTCGAAAGCACCCACTCACCGTCAAACATATACGGTCCTGATATTATGGTTAGCATGTGTGTACTACAAGGTTTTAATAAGTGCACTACTTACTTTTTTCCGCCTCTTCTACGCATGTACAGAGTTTTTCCTTGAGAAACATAAAAGACAACGCCACATCCACGGCACTGCGGTTGTGCCTAGGCCCGCCGTGACAATTTCAGTACAGTGGGTTGGATAACAGACATCGAAATAAATACTTCGATTGCCTTCCTTTCGGTGTCAGACGAAACCGCTGCTAACTTGTCGCATTTGGCGCAATAATGCTGCGAAGGCTCGAGGAGTGGGAATTTCAATGAGCAATCTTGACAAGGGGTCATCGTAAGGCTCTAAAGTCATGCATATGATCCCCACGCACTTTTTATAGAGGATACCTTAAAGAGGCGACACGAAGGCTAAAAAGACTATTAGATCGAAATCTTATTTAGACAATAAACTGTTTCACCTGGCAAGCCGTTCAATGGCGATTCACATAGCCTGAAACAGTTCAATTCCGATGTTATAGGCTCATAGTTTGTGCAGAAACTAGAGCATGGTCAGTAGGTGGGCGAGCACATACGTTCAGACCGATAGCCAAGGTTACACGAACTCCCTCTATAGTGCGTCCTATGACTTGTGAGTCGGCCTAACGTCCCCGTCACGCCGCAACGATTACCGTTGATATCCAGATCCACGAGCGTGTCGATGTTCGCCCTGCGGTCATTCATTGCCTTGGCATTCGGTGATACTACAGAGTTGACCCAAGTTGCTATTACCAGACGGAGATGTCGCACGGAATCCCAATGCGACTCCTAAGCTGTAGCTTGAAGCCGTCAAACAGCAGGGTGGGGGAGCAGCAAGGAGGGAAAGGGAGGGGAGGGAACAGGCGACGGAATCAAAGCGGGTGCTATCTATCTCACCGACCCTGAATCCTGATCATTACATATATAGATAATAATCAACTAGCACTAGTGCATACCGTATTGTGAATTTTAGACCTGACGACGGACGTGCACCGTACCCGACCAGGCGGATCACCTTCTTACCGGGTGGCCCGACCGTGTGGACTGAGCTTGTGCCGGCGAGGGAAACTAGGGAAAGATAAATGAGAAGCCCTTATGGCTAATCATTGGAATCGCCATTGAGAGGACGTTGCGTCCGGGGCTCTCCGACGCTGCGCGAGACTGTCTCCGACACGGCATCGACGAGTCCGTGGTGGATCGTCCCTGCGAGCCAGAATGTATATAGACCGATGTATGATTAAGAATGTTCTTCATTCCTTATCCTAGAGTCTAGTGCTGTGCAGTGCGTTTACCCTTGTTTACCCCCTTCACCATGCATGCATCTTCTGACGTTTTTGCGATGTGTCTAGCCTACACTTGTTGCTTTTTCTTTCGTATTCGTATCTTTCACTCACGCTCCTGCTATTCCTGCACCCTCTTTTACACTTTCATTCTTTACACAATGCGTTTCCTTTTACAAGGCTTGTTCGTTCTCGCTACCACTCTTGCCGCTCTTGCCGCACCAGTGTTCCGCCGCGGGGACACCCTTGGGGCGCTGAATGGCCTCTACGTACGTACGTCTTTGCGGTGATGCATTTGCTACCTAACGACCATTATGTAGCTGCACGACCGTGCGAACAATGCGATTGGGCGGCCCTTGGCGCTGTTCAATCGTGGCAATTTCCTGGGCAAGGGCCATAAACAGGACACCCGGCCAAGACCGGCAATAATTACCAACCCTAGCCCTGCTGATATATTTATAGGGCCGCAGCCGCCACCGCCCCTGCCGGGGCCCCCGCTGACGCCGGTGCCAAAAGATGAGCTGACGGACAAAGTGGTGGTGCCGGATACTCCGAAACCCAAAGTCACAGTATCCCATGTCCACGACCCCGCGAAACCCAAACGCTAACCCCAGAGGTGGTTTGGAACCTCTTGAGTGCGAAACAGAGTATGACAATGTGTGTAGGAGCTGCTTGATGTTTCCCTCATCTTCCTGACTCTGAGTGCAGTTTTGGACTTATTAACCTTTGGATTAGCAGTTGTTGTTATTACATAGTGCTGCTTGTTCTACCTTTGTACTTTATCTCCTGACATGGTACTCTCTAGCAATCACACAGTCTATATATGTGAAACATTCTAGGTGCAGTCGCTTGTTCTGCTGTTCCACTATAGGAAGAGAAGGGACTCCAGATCAGTGCATAATGCACTGGGACTGAAATACAGCCCTGCTGTAAGAAGGCATATTCTTACAGTAGCATATATGCTACCAATAGAGGAACATAAGCCACCAGAGTGGTTTATAGGAGGTATTAGATAAGCGACCCATTAGGGGCGCCTGTAGATAGTGGACAACTATACAGTTGTCCACAAGTAATTACATAAGACAGATAATCTTGTATACACACCACGTGCAGATACCAATAAATATTGGCATAGTCTGTCGAGTGTGAGCAAAATTCTTACATATTTTTGACTGCCAATCTTGGCAGCACTGCGATAACAAAAAGAAAAAGATCAACCAAACCGACAAGTACCACTCGCTGGAATCATTGGAAACAGTAAACAACTGTTTACTGTTTATTCCTCTAATCAATAGAAGAATACTACAGCGTGGCTGATAGACTGTATATCTATGGTGTCGATAAGGAATCGAAGCCAAACGCCTAGATCCTGAGGGGATCCAGATATGTCTGGGGCCACAGCCAAGGGCCCAGACAGGAGAGTTGAGCCTGCCCACGACGTGGACAGGCGAACGGGAACGCCGACGAGGATAACAAGTCCTTGTATCATTACGACACCTGTGGCTTCCGACTCTAGGAGTCGAAAGCGAAAATTGATGGATCAAAGAAGATCTGCACAGGACAAGTCAGAAACAGACAATATATCGTCTGTTAAGAAAACTAGAAGAACCTCGACTAGGTCAAAGTTACGATCATCTCTCGATGAGTCAAGAGAACCGCTGACGAGCGACACCGATGAGTTGCCGGGAGTGCAAATGTTGCAGCTTCCATATGTTCAGAAACATCGCGGACCGCGAAGTTCATCATCCCAATCAGGGACGATGGAGCAAAGGTCGGCGTGCCAGGAGGAAGAAACCCAGCAATATGAACGTACAACCGGACACATTGCCCGAATGATTACGACTCTCAAGGTAATGCGTAGAAACTACGTGTGAAGTGAGCCAGCGAGCGGCTGAGGCTGCTCATGCAGCGAACGACACCGCGAACCAACTCCAGACCTTAGGAGATGGTATGGAACTGTTAATACAGTCCCTGGAGGAAGAAGTGCAGGGACCTTTGTGAGGAAAGGCCCCTGAGCATGGCAACAATCCCAATAGGGATCGTGAAGTTGACCGTGAGGCAGAAAAGGCTTGCAGGAGACGAGACAGACAGAGGATGCCGCCTCCGGCCGGTCCAAGCACTAGGAGTGGTCCTCAAGAACCTAGTGCGACAATAGAACAAGACAGCGATAGTATGTGCTGGCGTACTGAGGAGGAGACAGATCACGAGTTAGATGCTCACGATAGAGAAGATATCCGCAAAGGAATTCACAGATAAAAAAAAACTTATAATGAGTAAGAAGTGCTCAAAGTAGTGACCCAACAGTCACTGTGGGAGATGATGAAGTCTGATGCCGACAGCATCAGCACTATGACTAGCACTCACATTAGTCTTGAATGTGAGTTTGAGCACTGGGATAGGATCGAACATAAGGCATCATGACGGAAACACCGTGCACTAGAACTCTATTCTCAACACGCAGATAAGCTAGTCGAAGAGGCTTATACTGTAGGAATCAAAGGTGAAGCCTTCGATAAACTGATCGAGTCAGTGAGAGTGGCTCGATCTGTCCTCAGTAGCAGCTATAGGCTGAGGGATGCTTTTCTAACAGCTGACAAACATCGACCGTTGTATCAGATTGACGAAGACATCGTCAATCCACCAGTG